CGTACGTGACTCCCTGTTATCAGCGTTTGTGGGCCTGTGGCACGTCGCTGGTCGTGACGTGACGCCAGCTCATAGTGCCGTGGAGTACCTTAGCTATACCACGTACTCGTTGTGTCTTTCAGACAGACGCCGGATATGGGAGCCGGCTCGTGATAGCATGCGGCTCATTTATGGTTACACAGAGACGGCGGATATCGGAGCCGGCTCATGCGACTGTAAGTTAGTAACAAACACATCGTATACATATTTAAAATGAAATAAACTAAATATATATGGATTTTGGACTTGTCTCACGTGAACATGGATGCTGTGGGGTACGTCGATAGGGTGACTGGGTGTGGTCATGGGTTCTATTGGTCTAGGGTTTTAGTGTTTAATCATGTTGGGCTATAGACAAAGGGATATATAGACTACTTAAAGTTGTATTGGGTTAGACCGAGGGATATATGAGCTGATTGCAGTTGTTATCAATTGAATTACGTTGGCTCGTTTTGACTCGCGAGCGGCTCACGATCTGGCTCGAGCTGACTTGTTAATTAATCGAGCTAGCACGAGCTGGCTCATTAATTAAAATTTCAAACGAGCCGAGCTCGAGTCGAGCCACTCACGAGCAAGTCGAGCGATCTAGCGAGTTACGTGTTTTTTTTGTCTAGATCTATTATTCACATCCTCTATGAATAATGAAGCTTTTTTTAATCTCGAAGTCAAAACTTTAGCTTAAATTATACTACTGGAAACCCACACTTCGCCGAGTGCCTGCGGCAAAGGCTTTGCCGAGTGCCGCACTCGGCAAAGGGCACTCGGCAAAGAAGCCTTTGCTGAGTGCTTTTTGTCGGGCACTCGACGAAGCCTTTGCCGAGTGCCGGAAAAGCACTTGGCATAATGAAAATGCGAAAAAAACCCAACAATAATAGCAAAAAAAAAAATTCGGGGAAGGGCGCCATTGGCCAGCGCCCGTCCGTCCAGCGCCACCAGCCATCGAAGTCGCTGTATTTTTTGAGCAAAATTCGCGGCTAATGCGGCCGGCGGGATTCAAACTCACGACCTCTCCCTCGTGTGTCTGCTGCTCTACCACTGCACTACATTGTCACTTGTGTCTAGATTCCGTTATCTAACCTCATATATTATACTAAATCGAGAGTAAATTGCTTGTTTGAATCTCTAAACGAATTCAAATTAAAAAGTGGTCAACTACAAAGTTTCATAACTTTTCGTGATCTACAATTTTCATTTAGTAAGTTTTTCCATCCGAGGTCGTTTGAAAAATTCGAATTTCAAATTTAAGAGATTCAAACGTAGTTTTGCATGACAAGATGATTTCAAATCAAAAAGTTGTCAACTACATAGTTTCATAACTTTTGGAGATCTACAATTTTCATTTTGGAAGTTTTTTCATCCGAGGTCATTTAAAAAATTCGAATTTCAAATTTGAGAGATTCAAATGTAGTTTTGCATGATAAGATGATTTCAAATCAAAAAGTTGTCAACTACATAGTTTCATAACTTTTGGAGATCTACAATTTTTATTTGGGAAGTTTTTCCATCCGAGGTCTTTTGAAAAATTCAAAATTTAAAATTTTCAAATTCAAACGTCATTTTTGCATGACAAGATGATTTCAAATCAAAATGTTGCCAACTACAAAATTTCATAACATCTCAAGATCTACAAAGTTTATTTTGGTCATCCGACATAGTGGTAGTAACATTATTCACAAATCTTATATATCTCTCTTCGACTTTCATGAAACTAATACGAGAGATATGAGAGAGATGTAGATTTTATGAACAACGTTATTGTCGCTTTGTCAAATGAAGAAATGACCAAAATAAACTTTGTAGATCTTGAGAAGTTATACAACTTTGTAGTTGAAAAGTTTTTCATTTGAATTCATTTAGGGCCTCAAAAATTGCTTTGAAAAAATAATTTGCCGAGGGAAAAAAAAATGCACACGGCAAAATGTCTCTTTGTCGAGTGCCAAAAAAGGCACTCTGCAAAGATGCATTTTACCGAGTGCCAAAAAAATGGCACTCGGCAAAATACATCTTTGCCGAGTGCCAGAAAAAAGGCACTCGGCAAAGACGCATTTTGCCGAGTGCTGAAAAATGGCACTCGGCAAAATACATCTTGGCCGAGTGCCGGAAAAAAACACTCGGTAAAGCCATCTTTGTCGAATGCCGAAAAAAACACTCGGTAAAGCCGGCTTTGCCGAGTGCCCGATAAAGGCTTTGCCGAGTGCCCGATAAAATACACTCGGCAAAGCTTCCGGCACTCGGCAAAGTACCGGTTTTCAGTAGTGATATTGCTACCGGCCATGTCTAGTGATATCACGAATAGATTTTTATTCGTACTTTGATTTTATTACATGCTATAATTTTTTTATCTGCATATTAAGTTAGAAATATCATGCTCACTATTACAGTATAATGATCAACCCATTACCTATGCACTTCTATCGCGGCTAGATTTTACATAACTGGCAAAGAACTTTTTTTTATCGTCACTTCCAGAGCCGGTATGGCATAGTGGCCAATTGGACGGGTGGTGAAAAGTGTTTTTTACCGTCAGCTCTGCCTAAGATCCGACGGTGATAATCGGGGTAGCTTTCACCCACTGCATCTGCGTCTCCATCCGCAGGTCCCACGCGCGCCGTGGTCCAGCACGTCCTTGAACCGGAGCACGATGAGGAACCGCCGCCGCACGCAGCGTGGCGAACCGCGGCCAACGTGAAGCCTAGGAACGCGCCGCGGCCTACGTGGCTAGCTCCCGACGCGTCCGACTCCTTGGTAGGCTCCAAGGCCTCAGCGAACGGGCGCGGCACGCCCGTCAGGAGCGCTGTGGGCCTTGCCGTCGCTGCTGACGGTGAGCTTGCCGTCTCGCAGCGAGAAGAGTCACGGCGACGCGCGCGGACGATGACGGGCTGGCCTTGGCTGCCGCTGCAGTGCCGGTGGTGGTGGACTTGGCCGCAGCAGCGGCAGCGGCAGTGGCGGCAACCTTGGGCGTGGGCTTCTCGCTAGTCGGTGCCATTAGCAAAGCGATGACCAAGGACGATCAGCAGGGGTGCCTCGGTGGGCTTCTCTATGCTAGGTGGCTGGTCAAGTTCGCTGAGAAGGATGGAGCGGGAGCGGGGAGGACGAAAGGTGGCGGGCCCTTTTTTATTTCTCTCACAGAAACGACATGGAGTGTTTGTGCAGAGCAGTATGGCATTGCATAGGCAAACTGCTGAGATGAGAGGAGCAAGTGAGAGATCGACGTTAATCGGGCGGTTTCATCATGTGGATCATGTATGTACTCCGTACTCCGTAGTACTTTGTACTAGCTTGTCAGTTGTCAGTGCTGAATTAGTTCACGAGCGTGACGATTGTTTGGTTTGGTAGCGTGATGTCAGCTCGACGTCGATGGCGTGGCACGTTTATCACTGTGTAGTGGGGGTTACGGGTTACCACAGCAGAAATAGCAGATATGAGTGATACTAGCATTTAAATGCTATTATTATCTTGTTATAAGAAACGACAGAACGGTATTCGCATCCTATGGAAATTAACGCTACTGTAATAATCATTTTCAGTCGGTTAAAAAGTATCAACAGAGACAGACAAATAAAACCCTCTCTAGTTCAGGGTCAGTGTTAATCAAAATTTAAGAGGCGATCCAATATACCCATCTCTGTTAATAAATAAATAAAAACAAAAAGCCCGTCGACAAGGCCCGTTGAGCCCATCAACGTGTCGTCTGTGCTGCTCGTGCGACCGGCCTTGATTTATTTGCATCGCCATCAATCTATACGTAGCGCCCTCAGTCCTGCCCGTGCCATGCCACACCCTGGATTTGCCCCATGAAGATCTGTGAGGGAGAGGGTGTGAGGGAGATTGAGAGAGGAGAGAGCCTAGGAGAGATTGAGGGAGGGAGAGGGCTCAACTCAGGGGATGTTTGGATACCCCTTCTTAAACAGTTCCTATCATATAGGATGTTTGACTCTAATTTAAAGTATTAAAATAGACTAATAATTACAAAACTAATTGTAGAGATGGAGACTAATTTGTGAGACGAATGTATTAAGCCTAATGCTAATGATGGATTAATTAGGTTTAATAAATTTATCTCGCAAATTAGTCTCCATTTATGCAATTAGTTTTATAATCAGCCCATATTTATTCCTTATAATTAGCATCCGAATGTCTGATGTGACATGGACTAAATTTCAGTGTGGTTGGCAGTCGTGCTTGTGTGAGTATGTCTGATGCCTCTCCGCATCCCGGCTATTGTCACCTGGCGCCTAGGCCGCTGTCTGTCCACACCTAGGCCTGACCACCTCTCTACACCATGGCTACTGTTTGACCGCTCCTAGGCCCGGCAAGCTCCTCGTGCCTCCTCGGCCTGACACACCACACACCTTTGCATTGAGCTTGCAGAGATGCAAAGTAGTGGGTGGAGATGCAATTGGAGTGATGGACAATTAAGCCGAGTTGAAATTGGATCTCCTTGATGCAGTTTAATGTCGCCTTTACTCATGCTCATATGCTTTCTTTATTTACTTTTTTCTTAAGAACGTTCTATTAATAACTTTGTAGAATATTGTTATAAGAATTAATTTTCTATAGAATAGGGAAAAAGGAAATATAAAGTTATAAAAAGAGAAGTGGGGCCAACACCAACAACCTGCACATTTTCGTAGCTCATCTGCAACTTCCAAGAAGGTGGTGTGCGTTAAGCGTGTCCTCAACTAGCAACTCAGCTAGTGCTTCTACATAGAACTAGATTCCAAATCTTTGATGGGCGATTAAAGATTTTGGTGAAGAAACTTGGGGAATTTGAAAACATTTGTAGCTCCAAACTCAATACAATATATTGACTACTAGATAACATAGTGTGGTTATTTAAACTCTAAATCCATCCCGTAACACTATACAAATGACCATTCTTTAAAATTATCAAATTAATGATTTAGGAAACGTCCTAATCATCAGGTCAGTGTATGCCCTCATTAACCCTCCCTACTTCTCTAGGCATGCTGCCCAGCCCCTGTGACCCAATCTTCCCTTGCATCATCGTCACTGCCTAATTCTGTGCCGACCATTTGAGGCAATGGTTGTTCTTTGGGCTGCATTTGCTGCATATGTTGTTGCTGATTCTTCCGATGTTGTATTTGTTGCCTCGGTTGTTGTTGATGTTGCATTTGTTGCTGTAGTTGTTGCTGATATCGAGGTTGTTGTTGTTGTATTTGTTGCAACACAGTTGCCATTGTTCTTCCGGGCGTAAATAAAAGTAGCGGTTCTTGGTGTTGAAGTTGTTCCTGGCGTAGCTTCTGCTGCTGCATTGGCAGATTTTGAGTTGAGACTTGTGATTTGAACACCATCAAGTTCCAAGTAAAAAGGGCAATATTTCAACAAATGGAAACGAGCATGTATAAGTATATACTTATTGACTATAATTAAGATTACCCGCATATATTGCTGCTGATGCTGCATTTGTTGCATCTGTTGCTGCTGTAGGATTTGTTGTCGAAGATGCTGTAAGTTTTGCTGCTGTTGTTGAAGATGTAGCTGTTGTTGTTGGTGGTGTAGAAGTTCTTGTTGTTGCTGTAGCTTTTCCTGTTGCATCGGTGATGGCTGAGTTAAGACCTCTGGTTTGAACATCACCATGTTCTAGGGAAAATAGCAATATTTCAGTAAATGCATATAGGTTTGTATACATTTGATTACAACTAAGATTACCTCAGGGAAGAGCATGCCAATCATACGGCCTGCTTTGTCAGACATTGAAAGTAGTAGAGTTTGTGATGGTAATTGTATCACAGCACACTAAATTGATGGTAGTCAAAGATTAGAACCCTATGAAATGATTTCTAAAAAGTTAAGTGTATGAGAAGACTATAGATGAACCACACTCGAATATTGAAGGTACTAAAAGACTAGAATCAGGCACTAACCAGCTTCTTCTCTTGTAGTTGTCCAAGAAACCCATGCTGATTTAAAGTCCGAAATATTAGAACGTCCGCCTTTCCAACATATTGTCTTCAGGGTTCAGAATATCCAAGGAAAGATATCACCAACACATTATAAGAAAATGTGATAATGCAATAAGTCTGACATTGAAAAGAATGAGAATAAGTTGAGAAACAAACTTGTTGTTCATATGCTCCTGCGCTATGAGGCGAACAATCTGCATAGTTTCTGGCCAGTCCGCTGCAACTCTGCATATGGAAAACAGTGGTTTCAGTTTCCTATACTTAGTCTGGAAGCAAAACAAAAAATAGCAGAAAATGGTTCCACTCAAGTGGGTGGGGGGGTTTCTCTTTGCATTATGCACACCGGGCATGACACTGTGTGTTACATAAGCATCAGCACGTACATACTACTAAGAAAAATGAACAATTCTAATACAAACTCATTCCTGATAAGACAAGGGCAACAATAACATCAACTAACTAGGAGTATTGTTCTCAACCACTGTAATAAACATAAAACACTAATGGCATAGAGCTGCATGGACACTTACGTTTTGGACACTGTTCCACTCCAACTCTGTCAGAAATTAGTGAGTGAGAATTATGAGTTGCACGAATAAATGTCTGATACTATATAAATAAATAGTAAAAGAAAAACATAGCAAGATTGCAAGACCCTAAAAGCAGATGGGCTAAAGATCCCAGGTTTGAAGGTGAACACAACCTGTGGCTGAAAATGAGCTTGACAGCTACTAATCAGTCCATTTTTAAGGGGCTTAAATTTACTAGAAGCATAAGCAATCAGAATAATACATTCAGGAATTTATTCCAAACTAGTTTTAGAAAGAAAGTTGGTCAAAGATAACACAAGATTCATTTGAACAAGCTTTTCATGGAAAAAATATATTTTTCCTTTCGATTTCATACAGACCTACAAAGAGCATAAAAGTGTCACCATGTCTCAGGAAGCAATCATTCAGCTAGTAATACTACAAATTCAAAAAGATATTGAAATCTTTATTGTTTTTTAAGAAAATAACACATAATTTTTGGAAGTAAAATAATGCAAATAGAGACATACTTCGAGTTTACAAATAAATACAGGCTGTCCTTGTCTTTGCCCGGATAAGGTTCCCTGTAATATAAATAGACGGCAAACATCAGTTGTTGAAACCTCAATGGCAACTTGGCAAGCATACAAGATAATATGTGCAATATAAATCAGAATTTACATAATGGGTCAGTTTTACAAAAACTGACAGTGGAATCTGGAGGCCAAGGAGAGTTTATGCAGTGTTGATATATGCTACAATGTATTGACTGATAAGGAATGAAATGCATGACAACTGATACAGCATACAACATTTAAGATAGCAATATGGTATACTGAAATATATCATAAAAACTAGCAGAATTAATTATTATCATAGATCCTATGCTTGTCTGATATTAACACAAGTACAGGCTGCTGTACTGAACAAAGTTATGTGTCCTTCCAATAAACCAGAAGAGGGCCAAATTTTGTACTGCACAGAAACATATGGGAACAGCAGGGCCTAATAAGGCTCCTATATGTGAGTGAAGTGCTCTGCACTGCACTTAACATTTCCGTGTCACTGGAGAGTTTGGGATGTACATGTAAATGCTAAATACAGAGAACTCTTTACCTCCCAAATTTTGACATATTTTGGTGGCGGTTGTTGGGCATTCTGATGCAGCCCAAAAGGCACATTCATGGCCGAACTGAGGGGATTGATTCCTGATTGTCGATTCATGCCCATGCTGTTAGGCTGAGAGGATGATTCAGCAATGTCTGAATTGTCCCATGCAGTAGAAGTGTTTGAGCCAAAGGAGCCAAGAGCTGTGCTCTGTACCATCATCAGTTCAGTACCAATTGGTTGTCCAGATCCAGACATAGAGAAGGTGACAGAGGGTGTCGATGTCGTGCCACTTGATACAATGTTTGACATGTGGACCTGTAATGGTGTTATTGGCCCTATATTTGGCGGTCCCATCGAGGTTGTAGCTTCTCCGAGAAAAGATGAGTTCATTGGTGGAAACTGTGACGGATTGCTGAGGAGGCCGCCATGACCACCAGGGCGAACTGGATGCTGAACAGGGTTTCTTATAGGGCTGTGTTCTTGCACACTACCATTTGCAGTATGTGCTTCGGTATACCAGTTGAGTATACGAGTTACACTAGAAATAGTGCCTCCAACACCAGCTGTTTGGCTGCCCATCGTTGGTCCATTCACTGGAACATTCGAGTGTGGAATTTGTCAGGAATCAGCATGTCAATGTCAAGGTAGGCAGCAACTTTAGAATATACTACTGTAACAAAACTCTGTTGTTTGTTCCATGGAACAAATGATGCAAACCACTCAACAAGAATTTCATATGCACAGGAGCAATCCATTGCATTTACCTATGTGATCGAAATCGAATGCCGGCGTCACCACCACTTCCGGCAGGTTGGTCTTGAACGCTTTCACAAGGTTCCCCATGAATTTCCGCGTCACTCCGGTGAGGTTCGCGACCTTCTCCTTGTATGCCCTGAACGCCTCGACGGCGACGGTGGTGGACTCGCCGTCACCACCGTCGGCACCACCACCGAAGAGCTCCTTCCTCTCCAGCTCGGCGCAGCTGTGCAGGCACTCGAGCCAGCGGTTGGCCTGGCTCTGCAGGTCGTCGAACAGGTCGCGCTTGGCCGCGTCGCGCGCCCGGGTCCAGGAACAGGAAGTAGGCGTAGGCGTGCGCCCACCGCAGAACACGCCGGCCGTCGGCGATCTGTCGGTACGCCTCCGTCACGAACCCGAGCTCCATCGCCGGAACGTCCACCATCCTAGCCATCCTCTCGAGCTCCGAGCGCTCCAGCTCGTCCGCGTCCGCGAGCGCCTTCTGCAGCGACTTGCCGTTGCCCGCCCACCGCTCGTAGTGGTAGAGGTACCTGTCGAGCGACGCCTTGGCGTGCCTCCGCCGCGCCTCCTTCTCCTCGTCCGCGGCAGCGGCGGCGGCGGCCTCCACCTCCTGCCGCTGGCGGCGGGAGTCGTAGCGCGTGCAGCCTCGGTGGTTGTCCCAGGGGTCGAAGCAGAGCCAGCAGAACTGATGGCGGCAGGGCGCGCCGCACGTCATGTGGTTGCAGCCGTGGTTCTTCTCGATGGGCCGCGCGCACTTGGGGCAGCGCTTGGTGTGCGCCACCACCCATTTGGCCGTCTCCGAGTCGGAGGCGTTCTTGGCCAGCCACGCGCGTACCGTGCCACACGACACCGGCCGGTGCGCCTCCTCGCCGCAGCCCCAGCAGAAGCCGTGCCTACACCCAGAGTCGCAGAACACGTCCGTCGCCGCCGCGTAGCCGGCGGCGTCGCCCAGGAACTCCACGGAGCGGGTGCACCCGGCGCCGCCGCACCACTTGATCCGCCCGCCGCTCTCCTCCACGTACGACCGGAGCCAGAACCGCGCGTACCGGGCCCTGTCCTTGGCGCCAGCCGGCACCGCGTCGACGAGCTCCCGGACGACGGGCGCCGAGCAGGACGGGTCCGGGCATCGCAGCGACATGCACCGCGCGCCGTCGGCCACCGCCGCGGCGACGTACCCGCCCCAGCAGCCGTCGCAGTAGTAGTGTCCGCACCCCGCCGACCGCGTCCGCCAGGCGGGGTACGGATCGAAGCAGATTCCGCAGACCAAGGCCCGCGGGCTGCGTGCACAGGGGACTAGGATCATCTCGCCGCCGCCGCCGTCTTCCGGTGCCGGCAGGCCGACGGCGCCGCGGACGCGCCGCTCGTCCGTGAACCACTCCTCCTGGACCCGCCCCACGCGCCACTTGAAGTGGCGCAGCAGGACCGCCGCGAAGCCCGCCGGGATGGAGAGGACCTCCGCGACCTTCGCCGTGTCCGCCTCCTGCCGCGCGCGGAGGTCGGACTCGGTGAGGACCACGTACCTCTGCTCCGTGTCGCGTGCCGAGGCGGCGGCGTCGCCCTCTGATTGCTCATCGGCTTCCTCGTCGTCGTCGTAGAAGTCATAGTACCCGTACATGTAGTCCTCGCCGGCGGCGTCGTCGTCATCAGCCGTTTTGGCCCCGTCGTCCATGTAAGCGCCGCTCTCGCCGTCGGCGTTGGCCCCAGAGCTTGGGCCGACGCCACATCTCTTGTTGCGGCCGCTTGTCTCGCCTTCGTCGCCGTCTGATCGTCGGTATCTCTTGTTGCACACAACGACACCGCCGCCGCCGCCTGATGCCATGCCACGCCGCCGCCGCCGCCCCGGGCTGCACTAGGCCAGCGCAGTGGACTCTTGGCGAGCGCTTTGGACTAATCCTAGGCAGTAGCCACGGTCGATTGCCATCCCGTGTCCTAATTAACCGGACGGACATTTCTAAAAGCCGCTTTTTATCAAATTATTGAATAATAAAATGGGTAATAATATAGGGATTTTATTTTTGATGCCCCCTCGGTGACGTCAGCAGGCCAACAATCGATTCGATTTCGATCGATTGAAAAAGCACGGGAACTATCGAAACTTAGCTACGAAGCATGGTACTGTATATATATTATAAGCACTTGGATATATTCGGGAAAAAAAATTGAAAACAAGAAAGACATGGGGTTGGCCAACGGTCATGCTTTGGTGTTGCGGGCGTGGCTGCTGACGTCCCGCGTCCACTCGTCAGCCGCTCGAACTTATCAGCCAGCTTATTAGCTGAATTTATAGTATTTTTCTCTTGCAATAAAGTAGTTTCAGCCGTCTTTAAGACCAGCCAAACAAACCCCTCGTTTGCACGATCTCTGTCCAAAAAATAAAATACAATAATTCTTGTTCTTTTCTCACTTGGCTTTTTGGCGGGTGAAGACTGACGAGGCAGTGTGTTTTTTTGTTTAGTGGCCAGAGCTCCATCAATCAGTTAAAGAGATATATGTTTTTTAATCTTTATTTAGTAGGTTCAGGTTCTTTTGGAACCAAAATCAAAGTTAGTGTATGTAACCAGCCGGAAGGAAGGTCGCGAGATGAATACATGAGTTGTTTATTGGAGTTTTTTTTTTTTTTTTTTTTGCCAACGGAAGCTCCAGTTAGTTGACGCTTCCTGCAGCACCTTCAGGTCATGAGTTCAAACCCAGGTGAATTTCAGGCCTATGAGTTCGAACTCCCTTGGGGATAAATTTTAGGCCTGATGGTAAAAAAATCTCCTCATCTATCCCACGTCAAAGTACAGATCTGTGCCTATCCCGTCTCACGGGGATGTGGTGCCACTGTATATGGGTGGGGCCAGAGTTCGAAGATTTTCTCGATCTGCGTGAGAAGATTTTCTTCTTAATGAAATACACGGTGGGACGTCGTCCCCCCACGGATCGAGTTTATTGGAGATTTTCTTCTTTTTCTTTTTTCTATTTTCTATGTTTTATTTAGGTTATCCGGTACCTTAACTATATGTCTTTTTTGGTCATTGTGCTTGTCTTTGTTTATGATGATGTTCTTTTGTAAAAGATATAATTGTGGTCCGATGTATTATAGCTTGACGATAATGATCGAAGCACATAAAAAATATATTGTTGTTAATAAAAATATATTCTAAATGAATTAATGATATCTATTTGGTGTCTTAAATATTTAATGTTTTATTTGTTGCAGCCACCACCGCCGTGCTCATCGCTGCCAAGTGCCACCTGATGACATGGCGCATTGCGCTGCGCTACACGAGGCCGGGCAGTGGATTCTTGGCGACGGTTTGGACCAATCCAAGCCAATCGCCACCGAATATCCTTATTAATTGGACGTTTATCCTAGGACCGAAGATTCCATCTAAAAATAATTTTCAAATTGCATAATTAGTCATTATTTAGAATAGAAATTCACACAAAATTACTAATAATATATAGATAAATTTTCTTCATCCACGTGTTAAAACTGCTAAGTCGTCTTGTCCGTCGCTAGAACTGTAAGGGCATTTCCAACCAAGAAACTAGATAGTTTTTCTACGTTTATTAATTAAGATGCCAACTAAGCAAAAAGATGTGGTGCTGCAATTAAAGAAAAGAGAGAAGGAAATTATTTCTTAGAGAAAAAACCATGTCTATACGAGAACCAAGACATGAAGAGATGTGTTAGGTAGATTATGGAGAGAGAAGACATGTGAATGAATAAAAAGTTTCTATGTATATAGTGTCTATATAAATAAACAAATAGGCAGAAAAATTACGTGTGATTGTACCAAGAGCATCTCCAAGAGTACACAATATTTTCTTTCAAAAAATATATAGTTTTACAACTCCTAAAAAGTATTGAAAGGAAAAAAGAAGGCCATCTCTAAGAGTTTCTAATAATCCACTCCAAAAATATAGAAGACAATTTTACATCAGGAATCCTATATTATTTCAAAATTACCCTAACCACTTTTATATATTCTTTCTCTCTTGTACATTTGCTTCAGGAACTCTTTCCTACTCTATTCTTTCCATGCCATTCCACTTTTAGATTGGCCGACAAACACGCACGGGGAGAGAAGATACGCGTGACTCGGAAGCACGTAACTTTACGCGGAACAGGGTGACTTTTTTCAAGTTCTAAAAGATCTGGAGGATGTATTAGAAGTTGTTCGAGAGGATTTTTTTTCTTATGTTGCTAAAAACCAAAGATTAGGAAGGAATTTAGGAAACTCTTGGAGATGCTCTAACACGGGCTTGCACGGAGGACCCGCTTGGTGGAAGGAGCAGCCGAGCAGCAGCTCAACATAGTCTCCTTGTCCAAAATATTGGGTCTTCGTTCTTTAACAAATGAGTATGAGCTTGGTGGCGGCAGCTGCTCCTTCCTCTTTTTCTGCTCCTAGAAGCTTCTAGACATAGGCCATGGTAGTCGGGCATGAATGCCGCATGACTAGCACCTCGATCTCGAGCTAGGGCACACCAAAAAACGCAAGGGCACAGCACAACGACGAGCTTGTTGAAAATCCTAGTTTACTTTTGGTAATTGAATGCCAACCATATGGACTAATGCTTTCAATGAGTTTGATTAATCTAAGGTTCACTTGATGGTGATAAGGAAGGCTAAGGAGATGGTGGAGATGGAGTTCACGACCATATGAAGCTAGTACTCAACCATGGAGAGAAGAGTTGGAAAGCAAGCTCGAAGGAAAAGGTATAATGTTAGGGTTTTGCTTTTGCCGGCTAACGTGCAATAGAGTGCACGGCCGTGTTTAAATAGTCATACTATAAAGAGGGGAGCGCTAAAGTGATGACGGTTATCTAGTGTCACCAGGTGAGGATTAACGATGCTTGTGCATTTGACCTAGTAACGTGGTAAGGAAGCAAGTGAAAAGCTTTACAAAATATTTTGAAAATCCTAACTCACGTGCTTGAAGTGCTGATGTTTGATGGAACACTTGTCGAGATTTGGCGCATTTAAAAAGACATTGAAAATGGCATTTGCTGGGCTGCTTTTCACCCCCACCGGATTTATCCGGTGCCGATGTGAAAGATAGCATCGGAGCATAGGTCCTTGGGCTGTTGTGTGCCTCGAGCTGGCTGGGCCAGTTTGGGTGCACTACTACAGAAATCTTATTGGAGGTGGGCAAAAAGGGTTAATGGAGGCGGGCATTGCAACAGCCTCCAATCAAAGGTCATGGTTAATCATGACTTTACGAAGGCGGTTGTCCGGCCCGCCTCGGTTAATCCATTAACGGAGGTGGGCGAGTTAGGGTGCCCGCCTCCGTTAATCTTTTTTTTAAAAAAAAGCCTGAGCGAGCCCAGTCGAGCCTAGGGTCGAGCCCAATCGATCCCGCTGCCGTCGCATCCACACTACCGCATCTAGCTCGAGGCTCCCCACCGTGGCCGGATCTGGACCCGCCGTCGCTGGAGAAGGACCGGTCGGCTGCAGATCTGCAAAGAGGAGGAAGAGAGAGGGAGACGGGGAGAACTAACCTACCTCCGCCGTGCTCCGCCTATGGACCCACGCCACCAAACCCCGCGCCGGCCGCCGGTGGAGCAGCTCAGGGAAGGAGGGCACGACAGCCGCCGGTGGAGCAGGTCGGGGAGGAGGGTGCTCTAGCCACCGCCTGGGGAGTGCCTTCATCGGTGGCCATAAGTCAAGAGTAGATCTGAAATTAGGGTTTCCAGAGAGAAGAGAATAGAGCTCCAATTCTTCAAAGTTCTAGTATAGGCTAGGTAGCAAGGTTCAAGTAGAGTTTGGGCTATTGCTCAGGATTCCAAATTCACCGTCTAGAGGCCGGTATATCCATTGTATCCCTCTTTATTTATGACTTTGTGCTACTTCAATATTATGTTACTATTTATTATGTTCCTAGTTTGCTCTAGTTATATGCCTGATATAGTTATGATTGATGATGAATATATGCATATGTTCGCAAAGCGCTTAGCTCAATACTCGAGTGAGTTAAGTTGTCGACATTATGTAAGCGTGGATGCTTAAATATTGTTTACCCGCGGATGCATTCTACACTCTGGGGCATGTGGTAGATCGTGGATGTGACACTCCCGTTGAATCCTTTGTAGTCCACTCCCCATTTGTAGAGCAAGTGGAACCCGGTTGCGAACGGAGTCAAGCTCTGTTCTTGATCTTCCTTAGTAATGTTCCTTATTCATAGATACAGAGTTAATTATGCTAAAGATGAGAGTGTATATACTTGGGTGTACAAAAGACTTAGTAAATAAGGAATGACTTAGCAATCTTTTGCTCTTAATTAATCTCCTGCGTAGCCATACTACATTTATGAGTATCTATTTCTATCTCTGGAATACTACCAATGCCTTACACTTATCATTTATTTATCATTTGACTTACCCCTGCTATAGCATGAGAGTTAATAATCCTGTCATAAGTATGCATATTTGTCAATATCTCTTGCCCCCCATCGCTCCTCCCTATGGATAAAATATAAATAACGATACTTGGTATACTCCTAGGTGAAATGCTACAATGGTATATTATCTTTGCGCTTTGGAATAATTAATATATATATGATTTTCTCTGAGCTTATAAGTGTCATTAATAATTACCAAACCAACGCATTTCTGGCATCATTGCTAGGGATGACAATTTAGTATTAAGGTGATGCTAAGGAATGCCAACAAGCATTTCTGGCGCCGTTGCCACGGAGGGGCACAAGGCTAAGAGAATTGATCAAATAAATACTTATAGACGAGATCATAACTTTATACCTCTGCTTTAGCAGGCTTACCCTTATTTTTCTGTGTTCATATCTTATACAGGGTATTGCAGGATTGGTTCTGATC